TTCTTACAATAATGTTTTCTGTTACTACCACCAAGTGGGATCACTGCCAGTGTGAATTGCACCCTCTTTCTCCTGCTTCCTGCTCGAGCTACGCCATCGGTACCACGTGTGTGTCGGGGAGGGGCAGGCAGAAGCCGGGAGAGCCTGGGTCCATGAGAGTGGGCCTCGCAGGTGCCACTGTGTCTGTAGCGCCCAGAAGACGGGCATCTAGTAGGGACCTGAGAAGTACTTGAATGAATGAATGGACACTGCTGCCTGCAAACCTTTTTCTGTTAAGTGGACAGAAAAAGGTTGCTTTGCATTTGGGAGTTAAGAAATGATTTAAGTGATTTAAAACCACTGTGCGGTTGGAATTCATAAAACCTTTGAACCATTAGGGCCAAAAGGGACCTGGGAGAGCTTTGAATCATATCCCTTCATTTACTGATGGGGAATCCAAGCCCCAGAACACTGAAGTCACAGAGCTGGACAGCGGCTAAGGCCTGGGCCTCTTAGCAAGCCCTCAGTCAGATCCCAGTAAAAACACTGAACGGCTCCTCTGAGAAATAATACTATGTCCAGTATCCACAGCACTTAAATTCGCATTGTTGTACCTGGGCATTTTTTTACAGAATGTAAAAAATCATCGATGTCCTTATCAGAGATAACACCCTTATAGTTTGGCGGGTCCATCTTTCAGCTTCTCTGTCCCCCTCCCCAGCCCACTGTTCTCCCTCCACACAATATCCACTGGGTGCCATTCTGTAATCTGTTTTATTTTCACCCAACAACAAGTCAAGGACGTTATTCCACGGTGACATGTAAGATGTCCACCCATGTTTTTAGTGGCCGGGGTATTCGTTTATTTGATCACTTCCTGTTAAATCACTGAAGTCATAGTTTCAGTTCCTTCACCATTGTAAACCGTGCCGGGACGAGCCTGTCTTCACACGGCTCACCTTTCCGTTCCTACTTGATTCTTTCCTTGAGGTAAATCTCTGGCAGTGGGAACTGGCATCAAGGGCGGGTGTGTTCCTGTGGCCCTGTCTTCTCCTGCAGTCCGTCTTCCACTTCATGAAGCGGGAAAAAGCATAGACACCACTTTTATAAAAGATGGATGTCCCAAATGGACATGGTTTTAGTAATTGTAACTCAGATCACTTGAAAGGCTCACCATTTAAAAGAGACCTTCCTGGTAGAGAAAAGGAGTTATTTTAAAAGGTGGCCACTGCCTCACTGACATGTTGATATTGAAAGAACAGAAGGTCTTCTGTGGGCTCTGGGGTTAGGGGAGTGAGCCGGAAGCTGAGGAGCCACGTCCGGGAAGTGGGAGCAGAGAGCTTCACGGGGCGGTGCCCAGGAGATGCTTTGAGAGAATGTCGGCAGGGTGAGACGCTGACGCCACGGGAGGTGCGGTGGTGGCCTGTAAGACACGTCAGACCTGTAGAGTAACTGTGCCAGTGGCCTCACTGATCATGACATTGATCACGAATCAGTGTTCTCCGCATGGCTGTGAGATGTAAGCACATAGTTATCTTGCCTTCTAGAAAACCTGTTCTGTCTGTGCCCCAGATGTGGGGCATAAAGCTACTGTCCCTTCACGTCCCTTACTATTCCTTGTGCAAACAGAACACTCAACTCAGGCTGCAGAGAAGAAAGTCATTTTACTAAAAATTCTCATCTAGTCTACCTTTTTCCAGAGCTGTCTAGTAATGTTAGAGCCACTAACGTGAGAAAGACCGTGGAGGCCCAGGACTGGGCTGTGCTCCTGCACCGTCCCTCTGTGGGCGCGTAACTCACGCCGTGCCCAGTAACTCCCTTTGTCCACCTCTGTGGTGCAGCGCCTGTCCCTTCCTCACAGTACCTGCCGCCCTGGAATTCTGACTTGACTTCTGCTTGTGGAGTACCTGTGTTCTGTGAAAGACAAGAAAGCAAGTTCTGTTTGCTCAGTAAGCACCCACTGAACACAACTCCCAGGTGCCAGGGAACAGCCTGCTGTCTGCGTCACACAGAGCTGCCACCTCACTCGGAAGGACCTTCCTGAGTGGCACTCCAAGCAGACAAGCACAAACAGAGTGATGTTGATGGCAGGAAAACAAATCACAGTTCAAGGAGGTTTATTTTGTTTCTAGTAACACCCGCAGGGCAGCGGAGGTCTGGATGGATGAATACAAAAATTTCTATTACGCAGCAGTGCCTTCCGCCAGAAACGTTCCTTACGGCAAGTAAGTGTCCCTTGCACCCTCTCATGCTGCTTTGCTGGGTGTCGCGGGGGCTGGGGGCTGTGGCCACAGTTGAGAACAACCACCCAGGTGTCAAAGGCAGGTGTGGGGGCCGCAGGCGGGAGGCGTGTGGGAGGCGGGGTGGGGTCCCAGGGGCTGTGCACAGTCCAGGCAGCACCTCTTCCCCACGCTGTTCTGGGCAGACCCCGTAAGTTCTTAAAACTTGTAAAGGGACCGTGTTGCCCTCTCCTCCAGCATTCAGAGCCGATTGGAGCTTAGGAAGAAACTCGGCTGCAAGCCTTTCAAGTGGTACCTTGAAAATGTCTACCCAGAATTACGGTAAGACCCCGGGATCTGGGGGTCGCACTTCAAGGGTTTGGAAGCTCCTAGTGTCACCGAGGTGGCAAGGCCTTGCGAAGTGAAGTGAGGTTTGCGCTTCAGCAAGGGGCCAGGAGCTGGGGCTCCCTGTGAGAACCGCATGTCCCCGACCCACAGCTGTCCTCCTGTTCTTCTTAGACCCAGAAACAGTCCCAAGGTATCACCCATTTATCTAGCTTGTTTCCCCCCTGGTAAGATGGCAGGGCGCAGGGACCCAGAGGACTGCTGTCCAACGGGCTCTAAGTGACGGGAGCAGCCCCAGCCTCCCCAGTGTGTGCCTGTGCCTGTGCCCTGGTCCCGCAGCCTCGCCCGCCTCACTCTGTACTGCTCATCGGGGGTGGCTGCAGCCAGCAGATACCATCACCCAACAGGGCTGGGAGGCGGGGCCTGCCCACGCTGGCGCACCTGCACCCTGGGAGGAATGGTGGCAGAAATCCCCTTCCAGCCTCTGTCTGCGTCCCAGGGGAGCAGGGACACCCTCATCAGAGGACCCGTAGGTAGGTCTGCAGGTTTCAGGACCCATCGGAACGCCATCTTAAAGGCACTGCCACACAGGTGTGGCCATGACAGGGCACCGTCCTTATTCCGAATGTCCCAGAGCATCTCACAGCGAGTCACAGAACTCCAGCCTAGTGGCTGAATGAAGGTCACCACCATTAACTCTGTGCCCGCTTTCCCTCTGGAGCTTCATCCCAGACTTGGTGACAGCGATGCGGCTGCCCAGCCACACCGCCCTTGGGAGCTGCGCCTCCGCTTCCAGAGGCAGTCAGCTTTGCCGGGGGTGGAGAACCGGGGTGCTCACCAAGGGAAGCCCCGTCCCATTTTTCCCATGGCCGGTGACAGCCTTTACCGCCGTGTGTTGCAGTCCGTAACGGTGCCTACTTTTCTGTCAGTTGCCTGTGACGTGGTAGTAATGACACCAGACAGAGTGACCGTAAATGCAGTTTCACTCTGTCACCCATGATTGGGGGCCCTGGGCCCNGGCTACAGAGGGGCAGCATGGGGAGTGCGTGGAGGGTGCACTCTGTGTCCTGGCACCCGTGGGGGTGGCCTCACAGACCTGTTTTTGTGTGCAGCTCACAGAACTACACCCATATGGTGTTATGGGAAGACACAGTTTTAAAGATGAGGACTTAACATTTTTTGATACATATTACCATTCAAGGTACTATATGTGAACAGTATTAGAGTCAAGCCGTACTAAATTCAAGCCGGAAGACACCCTGCTGTATAGCTATGACTCATGACAGATAATGGAGATACGCTAGTGAACATGAAGAGCTCTGAAAACAGCAAATGACTAGAGCGTGGGGCCCAGGTTTCCTAGGGAACCTTTTAGATGCTGAAGATAAAATGGGGTGAGGCCAGCCTGCTGGCCTCGGGAGGTGGGAGTGGTCAGCCCAGCACCTGCACAGCTAACAGAGATGATTTCGTACACTTAGTGATAAATGCTGTGGACAGGGAAGCTGTGGCCGTGAGGTGGGGCGTGAGGGGCAGGACAAGCAGGTCCGTGGCACTGAGTTAAAAGTGGCACATTTGCGACACAGAAGGACGCCAAGTGTGACTGGAGCCTGGAGAACAAGGGGACAGTAGACAGGGCAGCCCAGTCCCGGGTCCTGCAGGAAACTGTGTTGTTCTGATGCCGGGAGGGGTGGGGGCATTGGGGGCTTTTAGCAGCACCTGCCTCCTCTGTTCTAAGCGTTAGCGAGGTCTCTCTGGCTAGGTGGAGGGTGGCGAGGCGGTGACAGCAGGATGAAATGGTGCGCGTGTCCGTCCCCTCCACTGCAGGCTCAGAGGCTGGGCACTTCTAAGAGCTGTTGCGGTGGCCCAGGCACACGCTGAGGTGGCCTGGACCAGGGCTGTGGCCATGACAGTGGGACCAGGTTGCAGCCACACACTGAGGCAGGCAGTGTGTGCTGGTGGACTGGCAGTTACGGGACAGGGAGGGTGAGGAATGAAGGGGACACCCAGTCTTTGGGTCACACAGCTTTCCTGATGTGGTGCCCTAGTACAGAAGGAAAGCTTTAGAGGAGGGTGGTGGTGCATCGGGCCGCGGCAGTGATTCACATTGTAAACTCTGATTGCGTACAGATCACACAGCACACGTGTATTGCACCGAAGTTGAGTTTTTAGCATAGAGAGTCTGACTTCTGGGAAACTTTAATAGAAGCCAAATATCAAATAATGGTTCTGACCAACTGGCGTTCTCTCAAAAAGTACATGCTTTCCCAAATGTTGTCTAAACTTCATTTTTTGTTCAGGCCTTGTAAAACAAAATATGGTCTCATAAAACGAGCTCTGTAAAATCAAACAAGCCTTTTCACCGGGGCAATGTGAGATTTGTTCCAGAAACCTCTTGTGCAGACATCAAACACCCAAATCAAAGCCATTGGAATCTACCCGTAAACGGTGGGATGTCAGCAAATAGTCTGTTAAAATACACAAGGCATCGCTTTGTACACTTTTACAGAAGCACTGTTTTTTAGAAGAAAACGTTCTCTAACTGCGCCCAGGAGTCTGTGCGCTGGGCGTTTGGGGAGGAAACTGACCTGGCGTCAGTACCTGGGGCAGTGTAGACCTGTCGGACCTTCCCCAAGAGCCTCCACTGCCCCCAACACAGGGACTTGTCTAAAGATAAAGAGGTGGAATGTTGTTTCTCAGTTCGCTTCCCAGTCCCAAGTTCTCTTTAATTTCCTCTAATGTGTGGCATTAAATGTATAAGATTTCACTACCTAAAAATTGGGGCTTAACAATACCTACAATTTGTAGTGCTACATGTGCACCAGGCTGTTCTAAGTACTTTGCAAATATTAACCTGTGTAATTCTCATAAAACCTTGTGAAGTACTATTATTAATCCCCACTTCAGAGATAAGGGAAACTGAGGCACAGAAAGGTGCGGCTCCTTTGTCCAAGTTCGCATACTGGAAAGTGCCAGAGCTGGGGATAAGTTGGCAGCTTGGCTCCAGAGTCGGAGTCATTGCCACAGCGACTTGTTTTATCTAGACCCCTCAGCACAATCTGTGCCTGAGGTTGCTGGAATTCAGGAATTAGATACAGATGCTCAGGTGGCATGCAGAGGACAGTCTCCGTCTAGGAGGGAGGGAGGGGTGAATGCAGGGAGCGGGGAGCCTGTGTGGGGTCCTGCCTGGCTTTGCCACCCCCAGGTGCGCCACATGGGCACCTGTTACTTTAGAGAGGAAGTGATAACACGCCTGCAAACTCTTACATTGTTCCTTTGCTTATGGCAGCCGCCTCCTAGCACAGTGGAGAATGGGCAGTTGGGTGGCTCCTTTTTCACACGGCTCCGTGTCCAGAAACTGACTTTCTGGAGGGTGTGTGGATAGGCGTCTCCCCAAGGCCTGGGGAAGGCCCAGTCAGGAGAGCCGTGGGGCAGTGGGATGGAGCCCTCAGGGGGACGTTCAGGTTCAGGGTTAGCAGTGATGGTGAGACAGTTGGTACTTGCGGGGAAGGATAATAGGAGCAAATAAAGTATAGGAAACCAATGATCTAAACTTCCTTTCTTACAATAATGTTTTCTGTTACTACCACCAAGTGGGATCACTGCCAGTGTGAATTGCACCCTCTTTCTCCTGCTTCCTGCTCGAGCTACGCCATCGGTACCACGTGTGTGTCGGGGAGGGGCAGGCAGAAGCCAGGAGAGCCTGGGTCCATGAGAGTGGGCCTCGCAGGTGCCACTGTGTCTGTAGCGCCCAGAAGACGGGCATCTAGTAGGGACCTGAGAAGTACTTGAATGAATGAATGGACACTGCTGCCTGCAAACCTTTTTCTGTTAAGTGGACAGAAAAAGGTTGCTTTGCATTTGGGAGTTAAGAAATGATTTAAGTGATTTAAAACCACTGTGCGGTTGGAATTCATAAAACCTTTGAACCATTAGGGCCAAAAGGGACCTGGGAGAGCTTTGAATCATATCCCTTCATTTACTGATGGGGAATCCAAGCCCCAGAACACTGAAGTCACAGAGCTGGACAGCGGCTAAGGCCTGGGCCTCTTAGCAAGCCCTCAGTCAGATCCCAGTAAAAACACTGAACGGCTCCTCTGAGAAATAATACTATGTCCAGTATCCCCAGCACTTAAATTCGCATTGTTGTACCTGGGCATTTTTTTACAGAATGTAAAAAATCATCGATGTCCTTATCAGAGATAACACCCTTATAGTTTGGCGGATCCGTCTTTCAGCTTCTCTGTCCCCCTCCCCAGCCCACTGTTCTCCCTCCACACAATATCCACTGGGTGCCATTCTGTAATCTGTTTTATTTTCACCCAACAACAANTAGAGGGCAGTGTCACTGGCCCTCATATGTGGGATCCGAACCGGGGCCCTCTGGCGTCCCAAGCCAGCTCTTAACCATCGCGCCACTCGGCCGGCCCCCGGTTGTTTTTTTAACAATACATTCACAGATAGACACGTTGACAGATAGACACAACTTGGATTAAAGTCCTTTGAGTTCAGAAGGCCTCAGAGGAATTGTTAACCTCTGAAGAGAATTTGGAGTCAGGTTTAGTGGCAATTCAGCCAGCCAGACCCCTCCATAGGACAGCATATCAATGAGATGACCAGCTCCCAAAAATGCCGTGTGGTTTTCGGAAGTATGCACTGAGCTGAAAGCACAGATTGGGCAGGTGACATGGCAGCCAACCTTTTGTGTTATCATGTAGAAAGAAAGTTGCTATAAATACCAAAGGAGACGTTTCACCCAAAGACCAGAAGGGGGAGAGAAATTTTTTAATTCCCTGGTTGGTTGTTGGTTTGGAGTCCATTCTTACGCAGCTCTGCCATGTGTGAGGTCCTGGAGCTGGGGCTGTGTGTGTCCAGCCTGAGGACTGTGTGGCCGGGTGTTGGGAGAGGTGGGTGCAGCCACCTGAGAAAAATCTAGGCACCCCCACAAGTGCACCCACAGAACCCCCCGGGCTGCCGGTGTTCCTGGCTAACAGAAGGAC